ATTGTAAAATGAATGAATTCGCTTACAAGGCATAAAGCTGAAGTTACAAGGCAATACTGACATTAACAAAGCATTATCCTAGGCATATACAGTGGCTTGCGAAAGTATTCACCCCCCTTGGCATTTTTCCTATTTTGTTGCCTTACAACCTGGAATTAAAATGGATTTTTGGGGGGTTTGTATCATTTGATTTACACAACATGCCTACCACTTTGACGATGCAAAATATGTTTTATTGTCAAACAAACAAGAAATAATACAATAGAACAAAAAACTTCAGCGTGCATAACTATTCACCCCCCCAGACATAGCGTTTTCCTTGATGGCCAAAAAGCGCCATTTTAGTATCATCTAACCAGAGTACCTTCTTCCATATGTTTGGGGAGTCTCCCACATGCCTTTTGGCGAACACCAATCGTGTTTGCTTATTTTTTTCTTGAAGCAATGGCTTTTTTCTGGCCACTCTTCCATAAAGCCCAGCTCTGTGGAGTGTACGGCTTAAAGTGGTCCTATGGACAGATACTCCGATCTCCGCTGTGGAGCTTTGCAGCTCCTTCAGGGTTATCTTTGGTGTCTTTGTTGCCTCTGATTAATGCCCTCCTTGCCTGGTCCATGAGTTTTGGTGGGCGGCCCTCTCTTGGAATGGTGCCATATTCTTTCAAAAAAAAATTATAATGGATTTAATGGTGCTCCGTGGGATGTTCAACGTTTCAGATATTTTTTTATAACCCAACCCTGATCTATGTTTCTCCACAACTTTGTCCCTGACCTGTTTGGAGAGCTCCTTGGTCTTCATGGTGCCACTTGCTTGGTGATGCCCCTTGCTTAGTGGTGTTGCAGATTCTGGGGCCTTTCAGAACAGGTGTATATATACTGAGATCATGGGACAGATCATGTAACACTTAGATTGCACACAGGTGGACTTTATTTAACTAATTACAGTGGGGAGAACAAGTATTTGATACACTGCCGATTTTGCAGGTTTTCCCACTTACAAAGCATGTAGAGGTCTGTAATTTTTATCATAGGTACACTTCAACTGTGTGATCCAGAAAATCACAATGTATGATTTTTAAGTAATTAATTTGCATTTTATTGCATGACATAAGTATTTGATCACCTACCAACCAGTAAGAATTCCGGCTCTCACAGACCTGTTAGTTTTTCTTTAAGAAGCCCTCCTGTTCTCCACTCATTACCTGTATTAACTGCACCTGTTTGAACTCGTTACCTGTATAAAAGACACCTGTCCACACACTCAATCAAACAGACTCCAACCTCTCCACAATGGCCAAGACCAGAGAGCTGTGTAAGGACATCAGGGATACAATTGTAGACCTGCACAAGGCTGGGATGGGCTACAGGACAATAGGCAAGCAGCTTGGTGAGAAGGCAACAACTGTTGGCGCAATTATTAGAAAATGGAAGTAGTTCAAGATGACGGTCAATCACCCTCGGTCTGGGGCTACATGCACGATCTCACCTCGTGGGGCATCAATGATCATGAGGAAGGTGAGGGATCAGCCCAGAACTACACGGCAGGACCTGGTCAATGACCTGAAGAGAGCTGGGACCACAGTCTCAAAGAAAACCATTAGTAACACACTACGCCGTCATGGATTAAAATCCTGCAGCGCACGCAACGTCCCCGTGCTCAAGCCAGCGCATGTCCAGGCCCGTCTGAAGTTTGCCAATGACCAGACTGGATGATCCAGAGTAGGAATGGGAGAAGGTAATGTGGTCTGATGAGACAAAAATAGAGCTTTTTGGTCTAAACTCCACTCGCCGTGTTTGGAGGAAGAAGAAGGATGAGTACAACCCCAAGAACACCATCCCAACCGTGAAGCATGGAGGTGGAAACATCATTCTTTGGGGATACTTTTCTGCAAAGGGGACAGGACGACTGCACCGTATTGAGGGGAGGATGGATGGGGCCATGTATCGCGAGATCTTGGCCAACAACCTCCTTCCCTCAGTAAGAGCATTGAAGATGGGTCGTGGCTGGGTCTTCCAGCATGACAACGACCCGAAACACACAGCCAGGGCAACTAAGGAGTGGCTCCGTAAGAAGCATCTCAAGGTCCTGGAGTGGCCTAGCCAGTCTCCAGACCTGAACCCAATAGAAAATCTTTGGAGGGAGCTGAAAGTCCGTATTGCCCAGCGACAGCCCCGAAACCTAAAGGATCTGGAGAAGGTCTGTATGGAGGAGTGGGCCAAAATCCCTGCTGCAGTGTGTGCAAACCTGGTCAAGACCTACAGGAAACGTATGATCTCTGTAATTGGAAACAAAGGTTTCTGTACCAAATATTAAGTTCTGCTTTTCTGATGTATCAAATACTTATGTCATGCAATAAAATGCAAATGAATTACTTAAAAATCATACAATGTGATTTTCTGGATTTTTGTTTTAGATTCCGTCTCTCACAGTTGAAGTGTACCTATGATAAAAATTACAGACCTCTACATGCTTTGTAAGTAGGAAAACCTGCAAAATCGGCAGTGTATCAAATACTTGTTCTCCCCACTGTATGTGACTTCTGAAGGTCATTGGTTGCACCAGATCGTATTTATGGGCTTCATAGCAAAGGGGGTGAAAACATATGCACGCACCACTTTTCCATTATTTATTTCTTAAGAGTTTTTTGAAACAAGTAGTTTTTTTCATTCCACTTCACCAATTTGGACTATTTTGTGTATGTCCATTACATGAAATCCAAATAAAAATACATTTAAATTACAGGTTGTAATGCAACAAAATAGAAAAAATGCCAAGGGGGATGAATACTTTTGCAAGGCACTGTAGATCCTAAGGTTAACTTACAAGACAAAACATGAAAAAAGAGATGCCTACTAAGCCAGAGGCAATTTGAATTGATCATACAATCTTCCTCCATGGGCTGGATACAGGATAAGAGTGAGAAGAAAGGCATTTAATTCCATTTATAAACATCTGAAGGTGTAACCTTCACAACCAAAACCAACGACCATTAACCAATCAAACGATACCAAGTTTACAGTGTGGGCCTTGGTGGTCAGTTTAATCTCCACATGGTATCACAGCATCTAAAGGTTTGTGTGGGGGATGAGGCCAACGTAAATGAGACAGAATTCCTGAGAAGACAATAACAACCCTTTGCATAGAGTAATTCAGAGTTCACCCTGTACAGATACAAGTTAGCAAAGAGATAATACATCCATATAATTTAGATAGCATCAGAGTTATCCTCAGTGAGCAAGTTTCAGATTGATATCAAACATGGATACTATAGTGTTATTGTATCACATATTCAATAGTCAGTCCTCTGGATACTGTAACAGAGATACATTTTGGCGCCTCAGAGGGGGAAGTGCTGACCAGTCATTGGGTATTGTCCTGTGTGCTTTCCTTGTGTCCCTGGACCATTTGCCGAGCCTAAACAATCCACAACTCAAAAGTGACACACTAAATATTATTGACAATCCAAAAACCCACATTTCACATGCCAACAAAGGTCCTGTGTGGCTCAGTTGGTAGAACATGGCGCTTGCAACGGCAGGGTTGTGGGTTCGATTCCCACGGGGACCAGTACGAAGAAAGTATGAAAATGAATGACCTCACTACTGTAAGTCCCTCTGGATAAGAGTGTCTGCTGAATGACAAAAATGTAAAATGTAACATCTGGTGAACAACTCAAAAGTGACTCACAACTTATATAATATATTTACCATGACAATGACTCTCCAAAAAGCAAATAAAATTGTGACTTCCAAGAGAGCTGTTGCAACAGATATTGTAGAATGGAGGGGAACTTTCTGACTGGATGATGCATCACATGCTTATTACTAGATCGAGTTGTGGTCAGGGAAACAATAAGAATCCAATCACAATTCTGGAATGCATTCTCGAGAATCCAAAACCCACATTTCGGATTCATCAAAGGACTGTGGCTGCAAGACTGCTGTGGTCTCCTTTGGTGCTAACTGAGAAAAGTTATCCTCTCCTGTTGGGAAGACAGTAGTGGTGCTGTGATGGGTGGGGAGGTACAGTATAAATAACAATGTAAAGAAAACTAACAACTCTACTATCAGCCTAGTTGGTTCATGATTAACCTTGTTTGAGATGGAGCAGGAAATGAAAACAGTTGGTGAAACTGGCCTCTTTCATTTAAGGCAAAGTACTTACGTTTGTGCATTACAGAAGAAGCCATATATTCCAGACTTATTTATTTTTTATTACTGTACTTTAAACAAGCATATAAATGAGTAGGGGAGGCAGTTAAAAGTATACTTCAATGTTTATGTTTTAAAGCTTGAAACTGTTAAATTCCCCCAATTATTCCTACAAAAGACAGGATTACAGAAATATCATCAGATAGATTGCCGTCTTATCTTGGCTGGTGGAAGATGAGATGATCAGAGTAAAGCGTCTCCTGCAGTGAGAAGGTTTATGTAGGAGGAAGACACCAGACACAGACCCCCAGGGCCCAGATTCCAAGCAGGCTCAATGTGCAGCACCCATATAAAGAATGCCCCAGAGTGTGTGAACTATATTTCATACCCATTTTAGCTAAACCTCCAATTTCATGCTCCAGTCACCATGAGTCCTTCTCTGTTTTTCCAATTACTATACTATGCCAAGGGCTATGTAGCTTGAGTCCATTCACATTCCACACAAACCACAGCAGTGCATGTTGTTGACAAGATGCACAATGCATCAAATGCTGGGTATGGGTTTGTTTGAACATAACATTCCAGCTATTCTACATTGTTGCAATTTTCTGTTTCTGTTGTCTATTTTGAAATCGCTTCCAACTGCACTATTTTAACATTTATTTAAATAGCTAAAATCTTCCTTTTGACAAGGTATTTGAAAAATTCCAATATGAAAAATGGAACAAATTAATTTGTGTAGCATTAAACATTCCTCAATGAAGTGACACATTTGTTATAATATATATTATATTATAATATTTATATTATTATATTATTATTATATATATTATTATTATATATATTATATTATTATATTCCATCCCAAATGGTACCCATAATGCTTATTGAAAGTGTAACCAAAATCAGTTCCTGGCAAACTGACACATTATCTACCATTTACAGTACACACACCAAGAATGTAAACACAACATTTTCAGAAAAACCAACAGGACCTAGTTTATTGGCTAACTTATTTTTATGAAATTCTGACAGTGGGCACTGAATTCAGTGCTTTAGGGAAGTATGTACAAATGACATGGAATGAATGTTTTGGGTTTGTTTGTTTAAACCATACATTCAAAATAGCTTCTACTTTCCTTATTGTAATGTTTACACGATTGTTTAGGGAATCTGATGAGAGCTTATGAAGTAGATTATTTTTCCTGTTTGTATATACTGTTTTAAAATATTCACATTCAAATCTAGGGGAACGTTATAAAAGGAACTGGCTTCTTTTAAAAATTGACTGATTCATAGTCATGCAATTGACAGAAAACAAATATATAGGTGGGCAGCAACATTGATTTGTCATTAATACTGGGAGATAATTTTTTCCCATACAATGATTGATATAAATTCAGAGATATACCCTTCTCTTAAACCCACTGATATGACAGAATTCTTCACATAGTTTTGGTGTTACCTGAATGGTGATAAATACCAAAGTAGAATAACACAACCTATCCTATATGATACAGTAGAAAGGAAGTGATATCCTCCTATTTTCCCTAACACTAAATCTGATTGAACTTCACCAATGCTCAAAACACTATTCTTTTAAAGTGGATCTGACAGCATTTTAGCAACATCTTATTAAAATCTGTTCATATACATCCCCAGGAAGAATTACTTATTTTATACATTTTCTGACTAGTGAGCACTTCGATATGGTCATTTTCACGTTTTCATAAATTCTTAGAATGTTTGAGAATTACGTATACTAAGGTATTAGTGCAAATTCTATAGCAATATAGAGTGGGAAAGCGGCCATGCGTTTGGACAATTAATAGACACTGCGGTAAATAAAACCTAATAAAAACATCTGTCTCGTCCAGGACCGGAGCCTACGCAGACCGGTGCACCATAGCCAATTAGATGTACAGTAGGCTTATATGCAAACAAGCCATTTCCCACAAGGGCCTGCCATCATTCACTTTGAACTGGACTGTGTGTTTACAGGCAGTTGCAACATCGCAAAAATGTAGCTAAATACCACGGGAGTCCACTTACATTTGGGAACTTTACAGTCCAATTGATCAAACAACCATAAAAAGGTAGGCTATATTTCCTTATATGCACGTCAACAACAACCCTCTCAAACTTTTTCAGCTAGTTGGCCATCAAAATTGCACTGATAAATGATGGGGAATAGCCTGTCCTTCTGCAGCTTGCTTGCCAATGCATGCGTTTCCCAACCAAGCACTCAAGCTAACTGGCCAAAGTTGACACAAATGACCATTTTACTCACCCTAGCAGAGCTGGTTAGGCTGTTTACATGTTATATAGAGTGTTCGTGACTAACTATTACTTTTTTTGCCTACGGTTACTGACACAGTCATATTCAGCAGGTCTTGCGCGTTCATAAATTCATCAGCTATTCAGCGCTCTGGCACATTCAGACAAGAGTGCTCTGAAATTGGAGAAGAACGCAAGAGATGTGCTAACTGGATAACAGTCATTCAGCATAGCTAGCAAAGCGATTAACTATTCTTGCTAGCTAACCAAATGACACGTGCATCTCTAGCTATGTAGCCACCGAAAAAACGATACGAGGGGAAAAAGTCGGTGAACGTCCTCACTCACTCATGACGTCCTCCTAGCAGCTAGCTAGCTATCTAGCTAACATTAGGCTCTGTGTTTTTAGCTAGTTACATAAATAGATATGCTAGCATATTAGCCACATTATGACTGACTTGTGATCATTGCCCTTGCTAGTTTGATTGTATTGACATTCACCCATTTTTGTCAAAAATATTGAGTAATTGAAACTGAAATAGTGCATCCCGAATGGAGGCAGCAAACAATGTACCAGGCCAGCTGTGATTTACAAGCTGATAGCAATATTTCTTCGACTACCAATTATATATGAATTTTTATTAATCATGCATTGAACTGCATCCATCTATTCTGCCAGCAATGCCTTAGTGTACGTCATGTAATGTTGAGCCAAATAGAACCAATTTTTAAAACCTCTTATCAAGTTGGTTTTGTAGCATAAACTGGGAATTTGATATTTTTGACTGATATTGTGATTGTCTTTCTGTTTCATATCTGCAAAGTAGTTAAAACACTGTCAGTTCCACTTTAAATGTCCTTACAGTTGTCCCAAAGTCATTAAACTGTACAGAATTATTTTTAAAAAATCAACATTAGAAAAAATAAAATCCACATTATATCGACACTATAAAAAAGGTGTGAGAGTAATACATGTATACAGAGAGGAGGGTGGGTGTGGTGCAGGAGGGGGGCTGGGGTGAAAGGTCAGCAGAGGAGGTGGGTGAGTGTGAGGAGAGCTGTCAGGCTGGGCAGAGCAGCGCTGAGACTAGAGGCTCCACTGGATGACATGCAGTGGTCTCTATTCTGGCCGATGCAGGCAGCATAGGCCATGACATGGGGAATGTAGTTCTGCTCGTGGACACCGTGCAGCAGGTGAGCCATGGGGCCCTTAGCAAACACAGCCACATCCTCTCCTCCATGAGTCTCCATACTCAGCGGCACTGCAGACTGGGCCTGGTAGTTATTTTCCTCTGGATAGAGGGAGGGAAGGGAAAGGGTGGAGGTAGAGAAAGGGAAGGAGAAAGGGATCAGATGGATGATTTTCTGGCATGCCAAAGACCAAGTGGTGTTCTCTAAGAAAGAGGACTGTCAAAATGGCAATACTGCATTGATGATAATATTTCAGTTACCGTAGTCAAGGGTGGAGACGTTCTCTCTCAGACCATTGACTACTTTGAACCCTGGTCCGTTCCCATATAAGATGGCGGTGAAGGGCTTCTGGTCCACATCACTCATCATGGGAGCCAGTCCTGTGGATAGAGAGGAAAATAATCAACCATCTCCATCACAAACAATTAATCACAACATCCACAACATCCAAGTGACTGATGACTGAGTGTAGCCACATACAATACATGGTTGCAAAATCATCCATTTCTCACCAAATATTGTGTTCCCCCTTGGCGTGTAGCCTCCGAAGTTGAACATGTGAGAGTGGTCAGCAGTGACGACAGTCATTGTGTCATATATGCTGGTCATGAGGCCGGCGTGGCCAATGGCCCGGTCCATCTCCACTGCCTCATGCAGGGCCTGCTTGGCTTTACCCTCGTGATGCCCATGGTCAATGCGCCCCCCTGCCGACGCACAGCCTGGTTAACCTCTCTCTCTCTCAGGCAGATGAGAAAATCTAGCATCAGCATTGGCAAAGCAGCCTCAGCTGTGCAAACTTCACATTCAACATGATATACATTATTAATTAACCTTATGCAACAGATACAGTATTTACTGGTGCCAGAGTGTAAAACAACACTCACCCTCCACCAGCAGGTAGAATCCCCTGGGGTTTTTCCTCAGGATCTTGATGGCCACCTCCACCATCTCTGTCAGGGAAGGATCTCTCTCATTGTTTCTCTCCAGGTCGTAGGGAAGATCTCCCGGCTCAAACAGACCTGTGTTAACACGGGAAGCTGGGTTTATTATATTGAGAAATAGGTAGAGAAGATGATCAACAGTGGTTAACATGAAAACAAAAGATGAAACAGGCCGATCGTGAAATCAGTATAGAGCAACAATTTTTAAAAATAACTCACCCAAAATGTAATCCACACTATTAGGATTTAGCGATAAAAGTTCCTTCTTGTTCCATACATAGTGGGCTTTCTGATCATTTAAAAAATAAAACAATACATAATATGGCATTGATCTATCCCTGTGACAACCTAAAATTATTCAAATGTTCTTGATACGAAAAATTGAGAAAGGTGGAGGACAGAGAAGAACAAGGAAGAAACAGCAGGACATGGTAGAAGAGGAGAGAGAAGGACTAAGACAGACTAAACAGCTGACCTTGTTTTTCATTCTGTTATTCCACTCCTCCACCAAGTTCCTTCCATCGATGCGGGTACCAAAGTGTTTCTTCTCTCCAGGATACTCCACATCTGACTGGTTTTTGGGGAACATGTACTTCCTCCCTCCTCCCATAATCACCTAGACACCCACCATAGAGATAAAACATTTGATTTATATCTATGGACATCCCCGGTAGGGTTGAATATTTTCCTGGTATTTTACAAATGTTCCATCCCGAGAATAAATCACTTTTCTCCCGGGTAACCTGGTATTTCCCGCCAAAACCGGAAGTGTCATTCAAAAGCATTTTTAAGCATATAAATAGGCCTGTCTGGATTTGATTAGAGCGTTGATCGAAAATTCATGCCTGATGCTACCTGAGCCTGATGAGCCATACATTAAAGACATTTAATGAGCCCTATCCCAAAAAAGGATTGTGCCGTTATCCAATAGCCTACATACAGTATGATAGTCTACTGTACATTACGCAGGACAGAAAAACATAAAAGCCCATAGATGTAGCTAGCTATATGCTCTCTTGGGTAAATAAATGATACTGGCTCCAGTAGGCTAATCCTTTTGAGTGTGTACTGTATTGTATTCTCCCGCATTATATGGACTGTAATTACGAACATCGTTCAGGCTAGCGAATTTGATTTTAATTTGGGAATATAATAGGTTTTATTTGTACACTGAACAAAAACATAAACGCAACATGTAAAGTGTTGGTCCCATGTTTCATGAGCTGAAATAAAAAATCTCAAATGTTCCGTACACACTAAAAGCATATTTCTCTCATTTTGTCCACAAATGTGTTTACATCCCTGTTAGTGAGCATTTCTCCTTTGCCAAGATAATCCATCCACCTGACAGGGGTGGTATATCAAGAAGCTGATTTAAGCAGCATGATCATTACACAGGTGCACCTTGTGCTGGGGACAATAAAAGGCCACTTTATAATGTGCAGTTTTGTCACACAACACAATGCCACAGATGTCTCAAGTTTTGAGTGAGCGTGCAATTGGAATGCTGACTGCAGAGCTATTGCCAGATAATTGAATGTTCATTTTTCTACCATAAGCTGCCTCCAATGTCGTTTTAGAGAATGTGGCAGTATGTCCAACCGGCTTCACAACCGCAGACCACGTGTAACCACGCCTTTCTTCACCTGTGGGATTGTCTGTAATAAAGCCCTTTTGTGGGGAAAAACTCATTCTGATTGGATGGGCCTGGCTGCCAAGTGGGTGGGCCTACAGTATGCCCTCCCAGGCCCACCCATGGCTGCCCCCCTGCCCACTCATGTGAAATCCATAGATTAGGGCCTAATGCATTTATTTCAATTGACTGATTTCCTTATATGAACTGTAACTCAGTAAAATCTTTGAAATTGTTGCATGTTGCGTTTATATTTTTGTTCAGTATATAAATAGTAGACTGACGCATATATACCTTTTCATAATATTTCCCCTAATGTTATTAGCCTACCTCATCTTTCTCTCTCTTGTTGCTTCATTCCTTCCTCCTTTCAACAGTTTGGCTAAATGAAATACATTTCATTGTCCTTATCTTTATCATTTTAATTACAACCTGGGGCGGCAGGTAGCTTAGTGGGTAAGAGCGTTGTGCCAGTAACCGAAAGGTCGCTGGTTCTAATCCCTGAGCCGACTAGGTGAAAAATCTGTCGATGTGCCCTTAAGCAAGGCACTTAACCCTAATTGCTCATGTAAGTCGCTCTGGATAAGAGCGTCTGCTAAATGACTAAAAAAATGACCTAGAAAAATAAAATTTAATAAAACCTTGAATAATATAGGACTACAATTCGATGCAGAAGGCTTTCACTTCTCTTCATAAAGATTGAATGGGTCTGAATAAATAAATGCTATAGCCTACCGCCATCGCGCGTTCGCTTTTCTGTCAAACTACCCGTGAGTTCTATTGGCTGCTGTATTTAACATTCAGCAAACAAGAGCTTGCATCCCTCTTTGAATAGTCTATTGGTATAAGAAATGCAACAACAAAAAAATTGAGTCTATTCTAGTCTAGCTTTTCCTGCATGCAAGAGAAAGAGGCTATAAATTAGAAGCGTATTATGCATAACCCATAGGCTGTTTTAAAACTCTGTTGCTGCAATTAAAAAAATAATCTTTACAATAAAAACATATGGTGACCCTTGAAAGCCAGATGGAGATGGGTAAATTAGACGCGTATTTGGTCTTTATATTACTGTAGCACAAACTATGCTGCAGCAAATGGAGGCCTACCTGTCACAAGGAAAAAAGTTACCATAATGAGATGATCGGTCTACATGCATTGTGAACGGCGCTCCATACTGAGATGCGCTGTCTGTCCACACCCTGAACGTTGATGATATACTGTATCATGCAGAGGCCGTATAGAAGCCAGATTTAGACATCACATATAATTTAACAGTTCCATTTCACGCCATGCTGTTCATATAAATAATGTATTATAATTTACAGGTTTCTCAAAGTTATTTATCCCGGGAAAAGGGAGTGGTTTTGGGCAACAAATCCCAGTAAATCTCGGTAACCGGGTTCCGCCATGCAACCTTAATCCATGACAAGAATAATCAGGAGAGGAATTATTTTTGAGCCATTACATTACAGGTGCAAGTTGCTCCAAATTACTGTCTGAACAATTTATACAGAATAAATAGCAATCATTGTTTTGGACAATAGTTGTTGCTTATAAAAATGCTCTGTTTTTAGCATGATTACTGGATATTTTCTGTAATATCAGGATCCATATTATATACACTACATGACCAAAAGTATGTGGAATCCTGCTCGTCTAACATCTCATTCCAAAATCATGGGTATTAATATGGAGTTGGTCCCCCCTTTGCTGCTATAACAGCCTCTTCTCTTCTGGGAAGGCTTTCCACTAGCTGTTGGAAAATTGCTGCGGGACCTGCTTCCATTCAGCCACAAGAGCATTAGTGAGGTCGGGCACTGATGTTGGGCAATTAGGCCTGGCTCGCAGTAGGCATTCCAATTCATTGGGTTGAGGTCAGGGCTCTGTGCAGTCCAGTCAAGTTCTTCCACACCGATCTTGACAAACCATTTCTGTATGGACCATGCTTTGTGCACAGGGGCATTGTCATGCTGAAACAGGAAAGGGCCTTCCCCAAACTGTTGCCACAAATTTGGAAGCACAGAATCATCTAGAATGTCATTATATGCTGTAACGTTAAGATTTCCCTTCACTGGAACTAAGAAAAACAGCCCAAGACCATTATTCCTCCTCCACCAAACTTTACAGTTGGCACTATGCATTGGGGCAGGTAGCTTTCTCCTGGCATCCGCCAAACCCAGATTTGTCCGTCTGACTGCCAGATGGTGAAGTGTGATTCATCACTCAAGAGAACGCGTTTCCACTGCTCTAGAGTCCAATGGCAGCGAACTTTACACACCTCTAGCTGATATTTGGCATTGCGCATGGTGATCTTAGGCTTGTGTGCGGCTACTCGGCCATGGAAACCCATTTCATGAAGCTCCAGACGAACAGTGCTTGTGCTGACGTTGCTTCCAGAGAAATGTTGGGACTCGGTAGTGAGTTTTGCAACAGAGGACAGACAGATTTGTACATGTTACGTGCTTCAGCACTATACAGGCCCGTTCTGTGAGCTTGTGTGGCCTACCACTTTGCGGCTGAGCCGTTGTTGCTCCTAGACATTTCCAATTTACAGTAACAGCACTTACAGTTGACCGGGGCAGCTCTAGCAGGGCAGAAATTTGACAAACTGACTTGTTGGAAAGGTGGCATTCTATGACGGTGCCATGTTGAAAGTCACTGAGCTCTTCAGTAAGGCCATTCTACCGCCGATGTTTTCCTATGGAGATTGCATGACTGTGTGCTCGATTTTATACCCTGTCAGCAACGGGTGTGGCTGAAATAGCCGAATCCACTAATTTGAAGGGGTGTCCACATACTTTTGTATATATAGTGTATATGCTGTGACTCACATCGATGTTGGGAATGTTCTCAAAGAGCTGCCTGGCGATATCCTTGCAGCCCGCCTGTACTGCCTCAGCAGGCATCTCTCCATCGGAGTACCAGTCCCTGTCCACACAGTGGGCGTAGGCCGCACTGGGGGTGGCATGGTTCACACGCGTTGTCGTGACTATTCCCACTGACTTGCCTGGGTAACAAACACACAAACAGTTTTTGAACCTGCTGCTTGGATTCTGTGCAATAGTCTGCCAGATCTGAAGACAACCAATTGCTCCAAAGAATCTGCTAATTCTAGTTGAACTTGAACAGAGTGTCAGTTCATTTTTCAGTCATTTGAGAAATGACCATTTCTGTATTTTTTGTTTGTTGATTACCTATCATGGTTATAGTACTTACTATGTTAGACAGAGAATTGTGGTTATACAAATATCTCCACTGAGGATGAGTGGGTCAGAAACTAAAGAGTTAAAGACTGTTCCTGATGTGAGTTATCTATTTCTGTGTGTTACAGTATGTGAAGGGCTCAGGCCTGCCTGGTCTGGTCACTAAGGAATGATTGGATCCCTGATCCTATCTGACCTCTACTCCAGAAGTCTTGTTTTCATTCCTGCCATGTCTCTAAGTCGTTGGGGCATGCTAGGGAGACTCTGCCTTTGAGAAAATACATATGTAGCTATAAACTCCCCATTGAGATGCATGCATGCCTACGTTTACAATGTTATCATGGTGTGTCTCTATTGCTTATCTCAGGATGGCCAAATAAGCCTTAGTAGATCTGGTGTGGAGAGGTACTGTGAATAAACATGGGTTATAATGAGACAGTACCTGCTTCCTTGGCCCATCTGAGGATGGAGGTGACCTCGTTGCCCTGTGTGGTGTTGCACTGGGAGCGGACGGCAGCTGCACTCACACCCACCGTGCCCTCGTTGGCCTTCACCCCACAGAGGAATGCTGTGGCCGTACCTGCGCTGTCTGCCACCTGGGCATTGGTGTTATACGTCTGCAGAGACAGGACAGTAATGTGTGGATTATATAGAAATGTAGTAGGAGACATTGTTGTGCATGCCGTGTTGGTGTTATCCACACCTCCAAACATCACCTCTAAATGCTCAGATTGTGTAATTCCTTTTACATTCTAAATTCTTACAAAATCATTGACACAGACTACTACATGACCAATCATGTGTGGAATGTGCTGCTGCCTTAACTGTAAAGACAGTTCTATGATGTGTGGCTTCTTGCCAAGTATGTAACATAATAACACATTATTATCGTATGACATAGACAGTATGTGACCTGGTATATTGGTCTTGCCCTTGGTGAACCATTCATTACTTCCAGATCAATAATGCATGCTATTCTATAGGTCTTCTATATGACAACAGACCAGGTCAGACCTTGGAAAGCGCAACAAAGGGGAACTTGTCCATCTCCAGCTGGGTCTCTTCCCCACTCTGTCTGCTCAGCTGCCCCTTCAGTATTCGTGCTGCCGTCACTGTGGGAATGCCCATTCCTACACAACAAAAGCAAAGCAGTGCTCGCTCTGTTATGGTGTGAATCTATTTAAGGGATAGAGAGCCTTTCCATCTCATGCATTAACACCTTGTGGTTTTCCATCTGGTTAACATTGCTCTGTGGTCACTTTTCACAGCAGCTGCTCTGCCCACTGAACAGACAACTCTACATTTGGTGGTAAGGAACCCCGCCAAAATAGCTTTTACTTGAGATCTGCCTTTTCACAAGTCAACAAAATGTATATTTTTAGAGGTGACTATCTATTTTCCCTTCGTTTTTTTATGGGTGTCAAAATTGATGCTTTTGTAGAGGATGTGAACTGACGTGCACTTTCACTTTATCCAGCATGACTGTTTTAAGCATGGTTGTCATACATGATAGAGAAAGGTACATTGTATACTGCTGCATATAAAACATAGACAGTTAAGGTCCTTTGGGGGGGACAGTTTAATGGGTCACTACATAACATAACACAAAGCAGAAGCCATGTTATCCATTGGCACTGGCAGCATGTTTTTGTAATGCTCGATGGCTCCCATATTCAACATTCGATTTAGAAAGCCTGAAACATACTATTTACTTCTGACTGGATGACATCAATCCACCAGAATGTTTTGATGGAAACGGCTGTGGATTGATGAGGAGGATATACTTATCAAAATACTTGTTTCCTACAACCACTAGGAAAGATAATCTGGAACTGTATAAAAATACTAAATCTGTATGCTGCACATAAAGTCTTTGATTGCATAGAGTTAAGACTTCACTTCATCATACAGTATGGCACATACTCATGGAATGAAAAAGGCTCCTGTAATCATGACTTACCATCACCAAGGAATTGGATGAGGTTCTTTGCAGTGTTTTGGTTGAGCTTCTGAAGTGTGAGGGCATTCTTCAAAGTACGCTGGGCCCATGTGTTCCAGAACAAGGGATCTTTCTCTTGGTCTGCAACACGGAGGTAGACTTTTAGTTTGAAATAAGGAGAGAAAGAGGCCATCAGAAATTATCTGTAACACCTGCGAAAGTACTGGGACATGTGGGACGGAATATGCCCAAATTAAATGGAATACACGTTGAGGTTCCTCCAGGGAAACATTTTTTGATGGCAAAAACTTGATGAACACAGAAGATTATTTCATTAGGTAATGTACAGAACATTGGCGTTCATCACTTACTTTTTCACTTGTATTTCATAACCTAGTTATAACCTTTCTAATTAATGTTTTACCCCCAGACGATGTCAAAGTTCCTTTGTGAGTAACTTATTTCGTTACTGGTTTTAAGTCTCAGCATGACATATAATACGAACAAGTATGGATGATAATATCAAGAGACCAACAGGATGACCATAAGCACATACACATGTACTGTATTTGTAATGTCATGTTCTGTAGGGTCTGCCACTGCCAACCATATAACCTCTGACATCTCCAGCATGTAAGCTTCTTATTTCTGAAATCACATGTTGCCTACTATACACCAGCACATACATTAAATGATGTTACGATAAGAAGGAACCTAATCTTCTTACATTATAGGGAGAAATATTACACATCTGGAATCCATTTTGTGAACCTCTCCTGATCTGTAAATAATCTTTCAGGAGCTAAATGATTCTGGTCATTTTGTAGAGAGAACAGAGAAAATGAAGTTCACTAGCATCGTACTATAAATGCATTGTGAATTATGTTCAGTTGGGTCAATAGACTGACAATTATAACTCTAACAAGCCGTGTTATTCTAAACAGGATGCATAAACAACAGATAAGTGGCACTTCCTTAAAAAGAACAGTTGAAGACTTCTGCACGTGTCACATCTCCAATAAATCAAAGCCCAATTTTGTTTCTTCACCTTCTCCCTGAAGTGTGCACTTATTCACTCCTCCTCAAGGACTTCAGGAGTATTGGATTGGTGTACGCATGTGCTAAAGGATCTTTCCACCACATTTCCTAAACTTGTCCCTTTCCTTTTATATCTATGAACGGGAGTGAACAAGTGCACACTTCAGCGAGAAGGGGAGAGAAACAGATCTGTTTTAGTATGTGTCCCCTCTCAGCTCTTCCTGATGGATTTCAGTCAAACAGCTGGATGCTGTTAAGAGACATTACATTTATTGACAGGTGTGTGTATTACCAGGAAACTGTGGCTTCCCCAGGCCTCCGCAAGCTAGGCAGGAGCAGATGAGCAGGATTGTCACCTTCATGATGCTTTCTCTCTATCGCTGTACTGTTATCACATACCACGGCCCAAACTAGAGGGAGTCTGTAAAATAAGGAGAAATCAGTGTTGATGAAAGTTGATGAGTTTGCGTTAAAGTGCAGCAAATAATGGGGAAAGTAGGTAGGTTTCAACTTAGACATTCACAGTGAATATAAGTAATGGTATTGTGGTAGTGTAGTCCCAACCCGGCCACATGGGCCCTGAGCAGCCAGCCTTAATCTATTATTACACCCCCCTCCCCTGTCCTTCCCCTGTCCCTCCCCTGTGCTGTGGTCAAGGTCACTTTAATGGGATTGTGGGCCATAGCACAGAGAGATTTAACAGCCATAACAAAGCCGATTAACACCAAATGATTGACAGGACACTTCCACCCACAAGTAAACGAGAGAACGTTTTTTAATTGAGGTTCAGAGTTTATAAAGAAGAGAGTTTGGCAAATATATTGTTACACGTGCTTGAAAGAAAATGGTATTTCACAAAGTCTTGAAACTGTGTGCGAATGAGCCCTGTTACTTCATGCTATTAAAACAGACAACACAATTCCTACAGCATTAGTATACAACATGCTGTAGTTGGGCTCATATAAAGCTGCTAGGCTGGTCTCTAAGGAGAGGAGAGGTTTTACCGTGCCACAGATGCAGGCATATCCTCTGAGTAAAGCTCAGAAGTGGCCGGGCCCACCAATCGGCAGCATACTAGCCAGCCTGCAGGTGAAGTAGCAGAGCAGTCTCAGGATGACCACCAGGAGAATGCAAGAGAAAAGGAGGGTCACCACCATCGAGAGTCCATCTCGGTCCATGGTGTCAAGGAGAAAAGTGTCCCGGTTGGAATACCAATCCGTATCAAAGACAGAGGCAGATGTTTCCTGTTTCACCTGCCAGCTCTGTAGCTGACTTCTAAGAGATAAACTGGGTCCCTGTACAGAGTTCGATCTGTTTGAATGGAGCTGGGATTAGGTTTAATCATGTTCATGAGCTCAGGGTTTGGGATCATAATTAGAGTGTGCAACTTTATTTATGTATTTTCCTTCTTTCTTTCTTTTTTGCTCAGGGCTCTGTGACACAGGTTCCTCCATTCTGGGATAACACTGACCTCAGACACATTCCCCCAAACAGATTACCTTGGCCCATCCAAAATGTAATGGGAGAAGAAGGAATCAATCCAGCTCAATCAATGTTGTGTTCCAACTGGCCTGTTTGGATCTTATCCTAGGGTATGCTGTACACTGTGTACAGGATATCTATGGTGATATTTGTAATGTTTAAATGTTTCTAGCACTGGCATTCTTTCCCCTCTGAACTACCATTGCCTTGTTGAGGAGGTGATAAGATTTAATGCCTGTAGCGCTTATAAAGGCCCCATGAATAGCTACATAAGACCATACAAATAGTAATTAATTCTGTCATTAGATAAGGCACATACAGGAGACATTTGAAGTGCTCAATTGTAGATGAGATGATATCGTCCTCTCCTCAGCATAGGCTAAACATTCCACCCCATTAGTGCCAATTCAATCACAAATCAACTTGAAAGATAATCCATGTGCATCACTGGTACGTACAGTGGCCATGTCTAGGGAGCAATGACTGTCTGACATTGGTTAAAAGAAGAACCTGAAAAGAAGGAAGTTGCCAGCCAGATTGAGTAAATTGCAGAATGCTCAATCCAAATGTATGGATTGAAATATTTGCTCTATCATTCTGTCTGTCTCTGTCTGTGTATTCTCCACCTTTTCAGCTTTATTGGTGGGAAACAGTACCTTATGACAATTATTTTCAGGAGAACTATTGTGTTGTGAATTCTGACATTTAATATTACTATAGTTGAGCACTCAATACTAGTTGACCTTTTTATGATCAAAATTAACATCCAACAGCACAGGATATCAACCAAAAATGAATGAATCTGGCTATTGGCCTACATATGTGATTTTGTGTAGTATTGGTATAATAAAAAAACTTCACCCTTAGGGAGGGTACTGCTATTGTTGTATTGATGTTCAATCACGTGTTGGGAAGAATGCGAGTTCTACCTAAAATAATCTGCAATCACAAAAACTTATACCACAGCTACATATATAGGGTAATATAGCTTTAAGCGATACACATGTAGCAGCATTTTCAATTGCACCGATTTTCCTGACAATACAGCAAATTGCAATGATATTTTATTTTGATATTTTCTAAATAGCCTGCACTCGATAAAGCATTGAAATCGCCTGATATTCCAAAAAATAGTCAATTAATACAAAGAGTTAAAGGAATACACTTACTGCGGCCTCTATTAAAGCTTCTGTAGCAAAACACTTCTGTCTGTGTCTTCCTTTTGCTCTTGACAATCCTTTTATAAGGCTATGCACCAGCTCTGTCTTGGGGGCTGGGGATAGCGGTTGGTATCCCATCACGATGGCGAGAAACCACCCTATAAATAATGGCACCATAATATGAAGAGCTGGATCGTGAGTGCCGCCTGTCGACCAGTTTCACTGTTGCATTTGGTCTACTCAAAATATTTAATCCAAGCCTTAAATCAATCGAGTTCATTGTCTGCATTTGAAATACTAAACTGAAACATATTATAGGTCTACATACTTAATATAAACGTTTATAAGTAGCTTATAAACTGTCATGACTTTATAGCCTAGTTTTTAAATGTGTAAGAATACAGTTGCTTGCCAAATTTAATGCACACATTTTGACTTTTACCATTATTAGTATATTGCAGTGCGCCATATAAACTGATACAGTATATGTGGCAAGCAGCTAAATAAGCACACCGTTTCAACCAATAACTGTTTATTACAGAATTAAACAAATCTATGAACTAAGAATAAGCTGTTTTTAAACTAGATTTAACAGATGTATTAACCCTGGCCTCGATAGCCTAATGCCGCGTTAATGTACTAGTCGGAACTAGGAAACTCGGTAATTTCCGACTTGCTAACTGGTTGAACGCGGCACGTGTATAGGCTACTACAACCAGTTAACAAGTCGGAAGTTTCCTAGTTCTGACTAGCACCTGAACACGCCATAATGCACCAATTTATCTTCAGTGATTTTTGTTCATCATTTTGTATACTTTAGATGTCACTAGAGACCAGTGACTATTCACACAATGTTATATTGGCTATCTCTCATACAGGAAAGCTACACTATCCTACCCTCTCTCTCCAAGCATCCAACACACAAACCCCAGTGTGAACAGGCAAACAATTACACTACTGTGATTATCTCACCACTGCCACCAGTGTATGAATTGAAGGGGAATAGACATAGCAGGACTTGAATTTTCGTTGTGAGGGAGGGAGGCTATAACATGTTAGAGTATTTGTCATGGTGAAAAATATACATCTCTTCTGTTTAAGTAGCAATGAATTGCTTGGATACAATTATTTACTGAACTGAATAATAGAAGGCCTACTTAGTATAGGCTAAAACACCATCTGAGTCCCTCTGCTATTCCTATTCCTGTTAGTTTTATTTTCATATTCAGCAAAAATACAATTATATTATAGCAAAGGATGATTACAAAGACTGGACCAGCCAGACCCAATACTTTGTTACCTTCTACATCACCAATAGGCCTAGTAGCATGTCACTCAAGGCCAACTTTCACAAATGTCCTGTAGAACTGTGAAAATGACGGCATTATAATCCCTCTGATCCTATTAGGCACTCGTTTACTTTAGAAGTTTATTGCAGTTTTATTTTCTTTAATCTCCACATTTTAAGTGATTGCTCTGCATGTTAAGACTGTAAAGAAACGCCCAGTCAACAATAGATGTTCCTTAATCCTTAAATTCTGTAATCCTTATGAACACATTTAAATTAATTTCAGCTAAACCACCCCTCACCCTAGAATGATTGCCTTAGATCATTTATATATCTCCCTTAGGAACAGATTATTTGCAAATCCATTAAAATTGCATAAACCAAAACAGGTAGCAGTTGTAATTTATTTTACATTTTAGTCATTTAGCAGACGCTCTTATCCAGAGCGATTTACAGTTAGTGAGTGCATACATTTTCATACTGGCCCCCCGTGGGAATTGAACCCACAACCCTGGCGTTGCAAGCGCCATGCTCTACCAACTGAGATACACAGAACCTAAGTAGGGCAAAATATAACAATGTGTACCTAGCTGTACCTACATAGCCTAGGCAATCATGTACTGTAAATACATAGGCCTAGTGTTTTGGATACTTAGTCAATAGCGACCATTTTTTCCTAAGAACTTTTTGTACATTAATTGCACCACAAAGTGTGGAATTTTCTAAGAAAAGGTAATAAAAATGTTTTATTAAGACCCGCACATTTCTCAAATCCTATTGGAATAATAGAGAACCGTCCTTTCTCATTCTGCTGTTGGGTGGAAATGTTATTTCAAGGGTCAGCATGGAAACTCAATATTTACGTGGTACTTTCGCGTTGTATGTTCGCACTATATGACCGAAAATAGTTTGTCACTCGTTTATTGCGTCTGGCACACCAACAGCTGTCCGCTGAAGGCACATAAGAGGACCGTATAGACGGAGTGAGCTGAAATAATGGTGGTAAGTGTCACGGTTTCGGCCGAGGCTGCTCCTCCTCCTTGTTCGGGCAGGTTTCGGCGGTCGTCGCACTTTTGTATACCTGTTTGTTTTCCACAGGTTGCACCTCATTCCCAGCATAGATTCAGTAGATTCAGGCGCAGCTGGGAATGTTGTTGATCGGAAGTTTTGTTTAGATTTAGGGATCCCTCTCCTGCCTGTTGACAAGCCTTTAGATAGCCGCCTGTTGGGGTCGGGGTTGATTAGGGAAGTCACAGCGCCACTTAGGATGTGTGCGCAGGGGGGTCATGAAGAGACTATACAGTTGTATCTGATCGACTCTCCTACGTACCCGGTGGTGCTGGGAATTCCCTGGTTAAGCACCCATAACCCTGCTATTTCGTGGCAACAGAGGGCTCTCAATGGGTGGTCTGCTCAGTGTGAGGGGCGATGTCTGGGTGTTTCCGTAGGGGGGACTTCGGTGGAAAGTCCAAACCAAGTGCCCGCACTGCACATTCCTCCTGAATATGGGGATTTAGCTCTCGTGTTTAGTAAAGCTAGGGCGACGCAGTTGCCTCCTCATAGACAGGGGGATTGTGCGATTGATCTCCAGGCAGGAGCAGCGCTCCCACGGAGCCACGTGTATCCTTTGTCTCAAGAGGAGAGAAAAGCTATGGAAACTTACATAGCCGAATCTTTGAGACAGGGATACATACGGCCCTCCACTTCTCCCGCCTCCTCAAGCTTCTTTTTTGTGAAGAAGAAAGATGGAGGGTTGCGCCCGTGCATCGATTACCGTGGTCTCAATCAGATTACTGTGAAATACCGTTATCCACTCCCTCTGATTGCGACCATGACGGAGTCATTGCATGGAGCGCGGTTTTTCACAAAACTGGATCTCAGGAGCGCGTATAACTTGGTGCGCATTAGGGGGGGCGACGAATGGAAAACAGCGTTTAGTACCACGTCAGGTCATTTCGAGTATCTCGTCATGCCATATGGGTTGATGAATGCTCCATCAGTCTTCCAATCCTTCGTAGATGACATTTTCCGGGATATGCAGGTGCAAGGGGTGGTCGTGTACATTGATGACATTCTAGTGTACTCGTCTACCCGAGCCGAGCATATAGTCCTGGTGCGTCGTGTATTGAGGAGGCTGTTGGAGCACGACCTATATGTCAAGGCAGAGAAATGTCTGTTTTTCCAGGAGTCGGCCTCCTTTTTGGGTTATCGGGTCCGCGTCAGGGGTGAGAATGGAGGTGGATCGTGT